TCAAAGGGCTTAGTTAAGTCTGGCACCCCTAATGCTGGAACTGACATCAAAGAATGTTTCAGCTGTTTAAATGTGGCCCTAGTATCGTCCATCCATACCACAAACCCCTTATTGACTGCTTTTAATGCTTCATACAGAGGTTTTACTAACAACCTGTAATTAATTAATCACAGGTGATACCAACCTGTCATTCCCGGGAAAACCTGCATTTCTCGTACAGTATGGAGTTCTGGGAGATGACAAATGGCTTCTTTCTGATCTGTGTTAAGTCGTCGATGTCCACGGAAGATCTCAAGCCCTAGACAGACTACTGTTTCCTTTGCGACTTGTGATTTTTCTTTTGAAACTCTATACCCACTTAGTCCCAAAAAGTTTAACAGACTTACAGTGACCTGAATGCACTCATCTCGATCCTTAGCAGCAATTAGTATATCGTCCACATACTGCAGAACAACTCCTGACTGTTGCCTTCTCCACTCCTCTGGTTCTTTTGCCAGTTGATTTCCAAATATAGTTGGGCTATTCTTGAAACCCCTGGGGTAGAAGAGCCCAGGTGGGTTGAGTTCTTCTCCCTGTTTCAGGATTCTCCCATTCAAAAGCAAAAAGCTCCTGGTTGATTTTATTCACAGGAATGCAGAAGGCATCCTTAAGATTGAGCACAGTAAACCACCCTAAATCATCAGTTAATGTGGTTAAAAGAGTATAGGGATTGGTTACCACTGGGTGAATATCTTCCGTTATTTTAATTGCCCTTAAATCCTGCACCAATAGATAGCTCTTACCATCAACCTTTTTTACCAGTAGGAGGGGGGGTGTTGTATCTGGATTCACATTCTACCAATAACCCAAATTTAAGAAACTTTTCAATTATAGGTACTAAACCCTTACAATTTTTGATGCCAACAAACCTCGGAATGTGAACTGCTCAGAGACCATTTTTATCTTTAAACAGCAAGGTATTTATTGAGACAGCGATGGGAGCAAGCCAACTAGTGCTGGACAAACTTGCTCGAAGGCATTGATGCAAAACAGGATAATTTATACAGTCTAACTCCATGATTACAACATCTTAACATACATATTCATATGATTACAACATCTCATCATGCATATTGATAATAGGTGGAGTATGGGTAGAGTCCAGGTGAAGCCTAGGGAGGTGTTTTCCAGATTCTTCTCTTGGTAGTGGTCCTTCTGGCCAGCAGTGAGTCTGAGGTCGTATTCTCATCTTCCTCGATTTGACCTCCTTGCCTTTTCATTGTTCTTGCCCCGCTCACTGATGCTTCGAAAAAGTCTTGCCTCCAGGTCTATTTCTCCTATTCAAATGTCTACCTTAACTTAATTTATGGCCTCTAGGTTGATTGTATATCGTTTCTAGTATTCTTCTTAGGTTTAAGTCCAGTAAGTAGAACAGAACAAGTTTTTCTTAGCAGTACAAGCAGAGCGGGTATCGGGGGGGTTTTTCTCAACAGAGTAAGATATCTCAGTTAACTCTTTTAGGTCTTGTTCTCGTTTCACTTTCTTGCTTCAGAGGGTATTGTTTTTGTCTTACCAGTGTGATACTTACAGGTTCTGCTCGTTTGGATCTCCTGGGAAAGCCACTAGTGCACACTAGAGGGATGACAGTATCCTCAACTTCTGTGGGGATCTCGCTGTGGTCCTCCTGTATGAAAAAGGTTGCTGCTTCAACATATTTAGTCTCAGGAATTATAACTTGTATTCCCCCCCTTTTGTAAAATTTGATTTCAGCTTCTAGTTTCTCCAATAGGTGCCAACCCAGCAATGGCTTAGGAGAGTTTGGCAAATAGAGAAATTGGTGAGTCACCCAGTGCTTTCCCAACTTAAATGTCAAAGGTTGGAAGAAAGGTCTTGTCTCACTTGCCCCTGTAGCAAAAATCACCTTTACAGTGTCTTGACTTAGTTTCCGTTCCAAAGTGTTTAATACAGAATATGTCACCCCCATATCTACAAGAAACTATTTCTTCTTCCCCCAGCTTAGTTGTGACCAGAGGTTCTGCTGGGAATGAGATCTCCGGTCCCCTTCAGGCCTAGTCCCTGGCCATCTGGGCAATAGGTTCCATCAAATCCTTTTGCTTTAAGGCTGGACACTTTTTTCCAGTGTCCCTCCTACCTGCAATAAGCACACTGATTATGACCCAGAGGGGCAGGAATGCCCCTTCAACGTACTTTTCTCCAACCAACCCTCTTACCATGCAGGCATTCATGACATTCATCGCATTCATTTGCTACTACTGCCACCATTTTTGGTCTACCTTTCTGATCCCTATTCCTGTATGCCATCCAAGTTTTGTCCAGTAGTCTACCCAGATCTTTTCTCTCAGATTCTTTTGTCTTTTGCAACTTTATCCTTATATCATTTGTAGACTGGTAAATAGATAGATCAACTGTGACTTTCCTTCTGATTTGGGGTTTAAAGTTGTATACTTGCGTGTAACCTCCTTTAGCCTATTCAAAAAGTCCATCGGGGACTCTTTTCTATCCTGCTTTACCTCATACAATTTTGACCAATTTATTGCTTTCGGAATTACATTTCTTTTTGCAAACAAAACCCACTTCTGATATTGTTCCAACATTCTCCTTTGTGCCTTGATGTTTGGATCCCAGTGTGGATCTACCAAGGGAAAATATTGATTAACTCCCCCTTGAAGGGTTTGGGCTGCTATCTTTGCCTCAATCTGTGTTCTAGCAGTCTTCCAAACCATTCCCTGTGCTATCAAGTAAAGTGTTTATTATAGAATCTAAATCCTGCCAATATGGGTTCTGCATCTTAATCATCCTTTCTATAGCACTGGCTACACAGTCTGGATTGTCTCTATAATTCCCAACTGTGGTCTTCCATTGTTGTAACTCAACCTGAGAAAACGGAACTTTCATTAAAATTGGACCTTGGTTCCCACTTGCCTGTCGCAAGGGGACCTGTATAACAACCTCACCTTGTCAGGACCGTGTGTGCCCTGCAATAGGGTTGTATCCTTGTGTCCTCTTGCCCCCACCTTTCAGTCGCATCAGGCATTTCAACTTCAGTTTCCTTCTTTATAACTGTGGCCTCGCTCCTGGTCGTAGCAGCCCTCCCCCCTTCGGCAGTGGAAGTGACCCCCCGTTTTTGAGTGACTGTGCCAGCAGTGCTACCTGTTTCAACTCCTGCAGTGGCCACTCCCTCCACCATGGAGTGGTGGAAACAGCTCCCCCCACCCAGTTTGTGCCAGTAGCTCCCGCTGCTCCAGTCCTTGCAGCGGTGGAGGCAGCATCCCAGCCCACAGAATTCCAAACATACCAGGAGCCGCTGAATAGAACAATGAACGCATGCACAGCAGCCCCTGGAATAGCAAAAACAGTGGATCCCCTGCCCAGAATGGCAGAAGCAGTGGAAGTGGGAGGGGCCTCCCCACCCGGAGAGGTGGGAACCGCAGGGGTAACTTCCCCCCTGAGTGGCCAAAGAACGTGGACCACTGTAAGACTCCAGTCCCAGGGCTTAGCTAGGAGTTTTACTTAAATACATAGATATAGGGTTCTTTAATGCCTCGAGATAGCATCAAGAGAATAAACCATGGTTTTGTTCCCAAGAGGTTTCTTTATTAATTTAGGGAAGCAAATAAGGGAACTTAGTCAAAGTTCAAAAAGGACATGGCACAAGCTAGACAAAAATGGTTATTAATCCACAATACTTAAGATCCAACCAATCCACAACACTTAAGTCAAAATCCAATAAATCCACAACACTTAAGATCTAATCCCTCCAGCTCCAAGCCACCTAAAGCATCAAGAAAGGAGTAAAGAGAGAGAAGGAGAAAGAGGGAGAGATAGTTACCACTGGAACCTTGTAGAAGACCAACTCTCACATGCCCAGGTGACTGGGACGCAACAAAGCAAACACATGCCTATGCTCTGGTCCCTATGGCCAACCCCTCCGGGCAGGGTCTCTGACCCATCACCCATCAGCCACTCTGGGGTTCCAGGGCAGGGTGAAGGGCAGTGTTATCACTGTCCCTGCCAATCTGAGTCTGGTTTAGGGGCTCCAGGAGGTATGATGTGTTATAGTTTTCCCAGGTTGTTTGTGACTGACAGCTACTCCAGGGTTTCTCCATGTGGACTCCAGGGGCCTACCATGAGAGATAAAACACCACCCCACCTCCATGAGGTTCGACCCATCCTTTCTCCCTCCACATAGACACACACACTCCCCACAAGGTGGTTCTGACCCAATAATGACTGATCTGGTGTCTAACATTCCGCCCTCTCGGGTCAGAACAACCACTAGGACCAGGTCTAACCATTTCTCTTACTGGAGCGGAAGTCGTGGTGCAAGCTAGTGGACAGAGGGAGAAAAAGGACAGGAGAAAGAGGAAAGTATGCAAGAAAACATGCAGTGGGCAGTTGTTATATCAATAACCATAAACTAGAAGTTATATCAATATAGAAACTCCACTCCATGCAAATCACCATCTCCCACCCCATGAGTCCTGAACTGCAAACAAGATGTAACTCAGAATGTGGGGAGAGTTCACAAACTCAGTCTGTCCACTGCAGCGGCTGGAACAGTTCTTTCACTTTCCTCCATGGACAGTATCTTTTTTCGGTGAGGTGCAGCACTTCAAAAAGTCTTTGCTTACTCGATAATAACACACTAAGCATTAACCCAAACTAAATACCCATATCTCAGACCACCAACCCACTACCCTCATCTTTCCCACCAAACAGGTTTCAGGGGGAATTTCAGAGTGTATCATGGGAAAAAGATATTCGGTAATACACAATAATTTGGTTGCCACAGGGGAAATCGTTCCTACCTAACTTACCAAAAAACTTCAGTGGTTACTAAACCTGAAATCTTCACTTGTGTGCAGTTGGAGAAAACCTTTCTGCTACTACCAAAATTTTTGTTAAACCCTTTTCTCCCTCCCTCCAGGGACTACCCACCAAATACCTTGGTTATTCAGGGCTATTACACTTGTTGGATCTATTAGAAGAGAAACACAACATTCCAGTAAAAAAAAACTTAAAGGCACAAAGTTATTATGGTCTTATGCTAAAAATTGCTTTTTGTAAACACAAAAAGGTGATGCATTCACTTTAGAGTCTCTAATTCTGATGCAGTTATCTTCTGTTTCTGGAGGTAACTTTATTATTTTAGAATTTCCTGCTGGTAGATCTCTCAAGTGCAGGTAAACACAGGCACTGGAAACAGTTTTGTTGGCACTTCCTCTCCTCTTCAGACACCTGTATGAGAGGAGAGAGAAGAAAACTTGGTCCTACTGGAACTAGTCTTAAAAAGAGGGAACAATACACCTGGTGTTAATTCTGCCATTGGCATTGGTGGTTACCCATGCATACTTGTTCAGGGCGGTCTTTAAGACCAGTAGGACTTCCCTGATATTTGGCAGGCCTACCAATACTGACTGACCTGGAAAATGGTAAGGTTCTTGATTCTCTTCAGGTTTTGATGTTGCTGGTACTAAAGAGGGAGGATGTGGGTAAAAGGTTGTGAGTCTAGGACATCCGTTAACTCCCTGTCATGGGTTTTAGTAGTCAGAGGGGGCTATTGAGTAGTTTCTGTCAGAAGTTACTAGAAGCTTTCACTGTCCTATGAAAAGCCAATGATGGTCAGCTCTAGGTGAATTTCTTGTTCCTGGCCATAACTGAGTCAATGAACATGCGCTTCTGTAATAACATATTTAAGAACAGAGGAAGAGACGTTGGTGTCCCAGAAGAAATTCCAGGCCGAGAGAAAACAAGAAGTCATCAAGGTCATTGGCAGCCAGAGAGGGGGGGAAAAGGGGAGGGGAGCCTTTTCCCCCCCTCTTCCCCAGAAGCAGGGTAAAGCTGAAACCCCTGCAACCTATGGAGGACCTTCAGGGTGCAGAAGCCCTCCTGCAGCCTATGGAGAAGTCCATGTTGGAGCAGGTAGATACATGGAGGAAACTGTGACCCCTGTGGAAGGTCCAAGCTGAAGCAAAACCCTGCTGGAGACCTGTGGCCAGTGGAGAGAATTACCCACACTCTGGAACAAGTTTTCCTGGGTAGGACTTGTAGCCCTGGTGGGAGACCTACAGCAGCACAGCTCAATCCATGAAGGACTGCACCCCCATTGGGAGTCGTCCATGGAGCAACAGATTGAAAGGAACTGTTGCCCAAAGGGTGGATGGACCCATGATGGAGAAGTCCATCAAAGACTGTTTCCCATGGGAGGGGACCCCGTAGGAACAGGGGAAGGACCTAAAACTATTATTTCCCCTGGGGTCTGTGGTAAAGACTATAGTAATATAAGAATCCCCTTTGTAACCATGAAGATCTTCAGGTTGCAAAGAACTGATTTTAAAAACTGCTGCTACCCAAAGAATGGAAAAACAACTGCAATCTCCCCCCCATTCTCCTGCAGAGGGGGAGCTGAGAAAGAAGAAGGGGTGGGGAGAGAGAAGGTGTTATGTTTTAAGACTGTTTTATTTCTCAAGTTTTAGCTTTTATTCTGTTAGTAGGTTTTGGTCTATTAGTAATAAATCTAAGTTTTATCTGTATTCTCAGTTTGTTTTGTTTGTTAATGATGACCTTTCTCTCAATCCTTATCTCTACTCATGAAAATTCCTATGCGAGTTTTTTTTTCTCCACTCTCTTCTGTCCAGATGCAGAGGGGAGGAGAAAAGGTAGTGGAATGGTTTTAATAGGCCCCTGGCATCTAGCCAGGGTCAAACCATCACAGATTTGGTGCTGAAACCTGAGATCAGACTGCTGGGAGGGGAAGGGACCAGATCAAACCCACTACACTCCCCATCAGTCATTCACCCTTTTTATAGTATCCAATAATCGTCCAGTACAATTTGAATTTGGGGGCTTTAAAAATCTACTTAGCAGGCAATTTATTCTCCAAACTATGTCGTTAGCTTGCAGATGATGAGGTGTGTGGAATACATATATTTACAATATTTACAGTCTCTGTAGCAAACAGTGGGAAAAATAGCCAAAAGAAAAAGATCCTGGGTGGAATCCAATAGATATTCTCTCAAAAAATCCTCCTCCCTAAAACCCAGAGGAGGATGGAGATGTTGGGGCACAAAGTCCTAACACAACCCTTCCTCCGAGTCCCCCCCGGACACATGAGAGGGTCAGAAGGGCACAACAGGTATCAACATCGGAAGAACTTTACCCCCTTAGTGAAGTTCCAATGCATGGGGCACAAGGAGGTGTAGGCTATGTAAATGTGCCATTGACCAGCACTGAGGTACAGGAACTTGGGAAGGAAATGAAAAAGTTGTTAGAAGATCTATTGGGTCTAGCAGAAGAACTTGATCAGTTTTTAGGTCCCAATATTTTTGCATGGGACGAGATGCAGTCTATAATGAAAACACTGTTCTCAACAGAGGAGAGAGAAATGATTAGAGATGCAGGAATCCGTATCTGGGACCGAGAGCATCCACAGGGAGTAAATGGGCAACAAGGAGAGCAAAAGATGCCAGTAGCCCACCCAGATTGGAACCAAAATACGGATGTAGGGAGGTAAAACATGATCAATTATCGTAACTGTATTATTAAGGGAATTCGAGAGGCTGCGCCTCAAGGGTAAAATGCTACTAAAGCTTTTGATGACAGACAATCTACGGATGAGTCACCAAGTGAATGGTTAGAAAGGTTGAAAAAGAACATGCAATAGTATTCAGGAGCTAAATTAGATGACCCAGTAGGGCAACAATTGTTGAAAGTTTGTTTTGTAACTCACTCCTGGCCAGATATTAAGAAAAAATTAGAAAAGATAGAAGAATGGTATGAGAAGGAGTTGAATGCATTATTAAAAGAGGCCCAAAAAGTATATGTACGGAGACGAGGAAAAGCAGAAACAGAAAGTTAAAGTGATGTGGGCTACAATGAAAGTGGCAAGAAAATCTGGAGAAGAACAACCACCACAAAGAGAGGAGGTGGGAGCACCACGAGAACAAAAAGGGGGTCCCAGTGGTTATAGAGGGCAAAAAACCAGAACTAGAAACAGCCCCCCAAGGGGTACAAACTAATAAAATGTTTTTATTGTGGGAAAGAAGAACACTATAAGAGAGAGTGTCTAAAGCTCCAGAGAGACATCCAAATCTTCCAGTTACAGGAGGACTCGGAATAGGGAAGTCAAGAACTCTACCCTCTGGGGTCAGAAATAGGAAGACAGCCCTTGATAAGATTGAAATTAGGACCCCAGGGGGAGGATACCATCTTCTTAGTAGATTTGGGAGCTCAATGGACCTGTGTAATCAAACCCTGCATGGGGGTTAGAGTGTCTGATCAAAGTATTACAGTAATCAGGGCAAAAGGAGAGAAATTTGAAGTACCTGAAGCCTCATCTGTATTAATAAAAGGAAATGGAAAAATAATTAAGGCGGATGTATTAATCACATCCTAAGCTGGAGTAAATCTGTTGGGCATAGATCTAATGGGAATCTTGGAGGTGGGAGTTGTACCAAAATGTGAGAAATAAAGGACCGGTTTTATTAGAAGCAGATAAAGTAGACACGATTACTAACATAAAGTTATGTTTGTTTTTGGTTTATTACTAACCTTTAGGTATACCGCAAAAGTTGTAAGGCATACAGTTCAGTCTCAAAATGTATGTCAGGGACTGACCGGACGGGAAAAGGGAGATTACATATTAACTGAAAATAAAGCTGACTCAATCTTATGCCACGTGTTTGGCCATGCGGGTACATGGAGGCTGACATGTTGCCGGAAACTCTGCCCCTGGCATGAGGGGGGGCACCGAAGAGCCAATCCTAAGAGTAACCCCCCCCCCCCATGATGTAAACAGGGTTGGACCTTAAGGATGTTTAAAAGGTGGGGATTTTGAATCGAAAGGTGTGCTCTAGGAAACTTTGGGACCTGAGCACCCAACACTTGTTGTAATTAAATTTTCCTACTTATATAGTTATTTTCTCTGTTCTGTGGATTCTTTTTCATTGTCATAAATTCAATAGACAGGGAATTTTCCCACAATTTGGGGGTTCGTCTGGGATCCAAGTCCTACAACCACGTCTGAGACCCCGGTGCTCCTGGATGCCTCTACTTTGGTGGCCCGGGAGTCTGGGATCTCTCCAGGGTCAGCAGCGACAAGAATCTAGGACAGATTACCACAAAACAAAGAAAAACAAAACCAAACCGAGAGGACAGGGATGGAAAACTGGTTAAAATGGCGGAAAGTTTACATCCGTGCATGGAGGCCTGTGAGTAAAAAAAAAAAGGGGTCGGGGCCAGGGGGTCCACGCCGGGGGGTCAAGGGCCAGGACCAGGGGGCCCACGCCAGGGGACCAAGGACTGGGGCCGAGTCGGGTCGTACCACAGCCGGGGGTCAGGGTCGGGGGGGGTGCGCTGGGGGGCAAAAGACCAGGACCTTTATGTAAATGCTACAGAAGGGACTGTAAAAGTTGTCACACAAGACTGGGGAGGGGTCAGAAAGCCAGTAGGGTTTTTATAAAAAATGTTAGATCCAGTAATCAGAGGATGGTCAACGTGTGTACAAGCAGTAACTACCACAGCCATCCTCGTAGAAGAGGTTAGGAAATTAACATTTGGAGAAAAAATTAATGTCCACACTCCACATTCAGTGAAGACTATACTGAGTCAAAAATCTGGGAGATGGATGAGAGATTCAGGAATCTTAAAGTATGAGACTATACTAATGGAAAAAGATGACTTAACTTTAACCTCTAATTCATGTGTCGATCCAGTCCAGTTTTTATATGGTCAAAAGGAGACAGAATATAGTGAGACTGAACACAACTGCTTAGATGTTATCGATTATCAGACAAAAATCAGAGAAGATTTGATGGATGTTCCCATAAAAGAAGGGATGCATCTATTCACAGACGGATCATCAAAGGTAATAGAAGGAAAACGGAAAAGTGGTTACGCAGTAGTTGATGGAGAAGATTTTATGGTAGTAGAATCAGAGACTCTCCCGAGCAACTGGTCTACCCAAGCACGTGAAGTGTATGTAGTGATCAGTGCAGTGCGTATAATTAGTAATGGGATAGAAACCGTATACACAGATTCTAGATATGCCTGGGGAGTTGCACATGTGTTTGGGAAAATTTGGTATGAAAGAGGAAGGATGACCTCTCAAGGGAAAGAATTAGACCATTGTGAACTTATTGAAACCTTACTAGAGGAAGTCCAAAGACCCCAAGAAATTACCATCGTACATGTTAAAGGACACCAAAAAGGAAAAAGTATAATTTGTCAAGGGAACAGTC